GCCTGATGGCAAACTGCTTCAGGCTAGTTACCTTAGGTAACCTTTGCATGTCATGTTTGGTTGGTTGGTTGTTGCTGTGTCTGAAACAGTGTCTTCTATTATATTAATATCATACATAAAACTATATACTGTTTTCAAAGCAGTGCTCCTCATGTATATAGAGGATATAAAAAGATTTCTCAACAAAATTGACCTCTCAGAGGCAAAGAAAATTGCAGTGGAAGACACATTATTGTGTGGTCATATCAGAGCCTTGGATCTTTGGAGAGTCTCACTCCACTGTCCTCCAGCTTTTCCTTATAAACCAAAATGGCTTACAAATGTCATCCACAATAGTCCAATAAAGATTAGGAACAAACACTGTCCTTACATTGATGAGATAAGAAAGATTTAACTGCAGAATGCAGTGTGTAAGAACAGTTCATAAGGTTTGTTCTCGAATCAGAGAAATAGAATTCAAATGATACTTGTGTGTGTCTAGAATTTAATTGAGATGATCAGTTTATTTTCTACATAATGTTTGATCAGATGCCTGTACTGCAGAGCTAGATAAAAAGAAAAGAAAGAAAACAAATTCTATCAGGGAAAATCAAGAAGACCCGTTATCTTCAGGGTGTGCAAAACATGTCAGGAAATGATTCTACTCCGAGCACTGAGAATGCCCAGTTAATAAAAAAAGATCAGCCACTCGCAAAGAGAAAATAATTGTCTGTATCTGTATTTTTCAAAGCAAAAAGGCAGTCACATCTTACACTAAATAGGACACATTAAAATAAGCTTTAATAATCTTTATGCGGAAAGAAACTAATCCATTTTCAGATCATACGATCCACAGCAATAAAAGGAAATCATCAAACTAAAAACAATTTTAGAAATGGCTGCAGACTCTCATTTAATTAACATGCAACAGATCATATATTTATGAGGAAGTCAAAATATTTAGGAAGCCTATAATCCTGTAAGCCTTAATGTGGTATAAAAACAACAAATAAATGCAAAGTGTTACTGTTACACATGCCTGCCTGATCAATGGTTTTCACATATTGATCTATAAATGGAGTTGACAGTCTGTGTTGGCTGCACATTTTCCAAGCAGTGCTATTTTTGCACAAAACCAATACGGGCAATTACCTTTGTTTGAGATGCCAACTCTTATCAATTCAATGTGATTTAGTGTCATTTTAATTAAATATCAGGATCCACTTCAGGACAATTTATACAAACAAAGCCTCAAACCTAACTATAAGCTTGATTTGAAGTAAACATGGACAAGCCCTACAATCTCATAATATTTCTCAAAAACTCTGCTAAACAGAAGGCTTATATTTTTAGTAGCAATTTTTATGTCTGCCTTTTTGGCTAGCCACAACTTTGGCAAGTATCCTATAATCACAGAAGTAAGAAACAAAAGAAAATTGTTTCCTTTTTTTCCTGATAATACTTTAAAGAGAAAAATGAACACACGCAGTCTGCCACTGGAAGTAAAAGGAGTCTTGTATGTTAACGTTTGGGAATGGCTCCACCAAACTCTGTATGTGAACACCGATAGAAAGGTACTTTTCTGTTTATGATGGCTGTGAACACCGCAATGCCCTTCTGTGGGATTCATAAGATGGAAGTGGTGAATACGCAATATGCATACGTGTTGCGGATCGAGCCACTAGCATTGAATGCTTTAACCGCTCCTGTCTGCAAATCTTGTGCCTGCAGTTTCACAATTTGGGCTATTTAAACTCTCCATTAATCTGTTCTAAATTGTCCGGTAGGCTGGTGCATCCCTCTTAGAAGTAACATCAAAGCCGGATTAACCCTTTTTTCATTAGCTATTTGCTGGGTTGCACATTCACCTTTTTACCCCTTAAACAGGTAACTTGCTCCCATTTGCTTGCACTCAGCTTTTTGCTTTTCCATTTAGCACCTTCTGGCGACTAAGCTGTCCATCTATAAGAAGTCTCACTCTTGCTCAGGGACAGATGAGAAATCTCTGAGGCCCAAAGTCCTTTCTTCCCCACCAAGTGGAGCTCTGCAGGACTCTTTCACAGATAGACAATTTTCTTGCAAACCACGTCTCCCCCACTTCAAATTTCCCACCTCTCCAACATTTCCCAGGAAACAAATAGCCACTTTGAACTTTGAAAAGGCATCAGTTTTAGTAACCAGATAAAAAGGATTATTTGGTGTTCAAGAAAGAGATGCCTACTACCAATGAAATATTAATTGAGCATTGATACCTGTTTTATTGAAATGCTTCCTGGCAACATCAAGGTTATACAAATTTCTAATTCAACAAGTAAATTCACTTGAGTTTGCAAAAGGTAAATGCAGTAGTAAATGATTGTATTGGCATTTCAATATACTCTAATTTAAGAAGTTAAAAATAGAGGGTCTTACGGTATTCATAGGAAAAATAATATGTTCTAGGTGCATAGTCATTTAAAATATTTTAACAAAATATAAAAAAAGTTTATGAATTAATGGCAAATATCTCATTGATGTGATCCTAGGACATTTTGTCCTCTTTTGTACCAAACGAAATAATGATGACTGAAATGTAAGATTTTTTGTTATTATATAGACCAGTATGTAGATGTTAGTTTTGCATAATTTACATACTAGTGAACAAGTAGTATACATACTCAATGAATTAAATAGGGTGCCAAATATGGTCTCTAAGTACTCAGTAATTTTCTGTACAGATTACATGTACTTGTGCTTCTGTTACAACAAAGCATGCATCATGTGAATGCATGCGCACATTTTTCGTATACATGTCTTTCCACTCTCCTAAATTCAGTCTCCCCCTTGACCTCACCCCACCATCCAACTTCTGAAAAATCAACTTCTTAGTTTAGCTTGAGCAGATAACTTTAACAGGCTTGTTTGAATAAATATGCCAAAATACTTTACATTCTGTCAGTATCTAGTCAGAAAATTGTGCATGGAAAAAAGAGATGAAAAGAACTGAGACAGAAAGAAAATTAGTGCCATGGCAAGCTTTCAATGCAGTATCTCGGAGCCAAGTTTTCTTAGTGAAATGACATATTCTCACTAAAATATCCCTTTTATATAATTATGCACTGAGCACACATCACCAAAAGTAACTTTTATTTTTGTTCCTTATCGAGGAATACATATTGCCCAGACTAAGAATGCGGAAACAAAAGCTGGGATAATTATAGCTAATTTCACTTTGGAAAACTCTTATTCTCTAGCAGTCCAGCATACAACCCCCCAAACTAAAGTTATGTAACAAGGTAATATCAACAATGAGAAACTGCATGATAAAATCCTGCCCAAAAGTGAAAAATGCTAATTTTGTCTCATTTAGCAGCTGGATACAGAAATGCTCATTAGTTTTAAGAGGGTTAATCCTTTTAACTTTTGCATATTGATATGCCAATTATGCCTAATTGTACAAGAGGCATCAGTCAAGGTAATAGTGCATAAACACATGAAAGTTATTAAGTACATCCCAACATGTAATAAAGTAGGTGTTAATTGGTAGCTGAGTTCTGCGGGCTATTGAGGTGGATAATTCATTGAGAGATGGATCACTTGTAATTTCTCTCCATAATTCCTTTTGCAGTCTCATGCTGTGATGTTTTCATGCTTGTCAAAAACAACTGCGGCATAGTGCCTTTTGTTAAACACAGCCAATAAAATATGTTAGGCATCATTAAATATACTTAACTTTTAAACTTTTTCAAAGGTACAGTTCTTACTGATAATACATTATAGAGATTCCAATAATTTACTCTAACCACTGTCTCAAGTTCATGGTTGAGGAAGATTTTAGCTGGTTTAGAGTCAAAGTCAGGCAAGTAGCATGGTGCCTCCCAACAGACGCTATTTAAAATGAGTAAGTAAATAAAAGAAAATGTATCTCTCATTAGTTACCTTATCTACGGATGCATTTCTCAGGCCCCAAATATAATCACTGGTTTCCTTGTGCTAAATTTGTCTACAACACCTGAGGAAAGAGTGATTAAAATCATATATTTCTCAAGCTCCTGAGATTGCTGTGGGTTAATGTTGCACTTGAAATTCAAGTGAAAAATGGGGAATAAGTATAATCAGTAACATGCTACTCAGCAAGTTTATCTCATTTAATAACTCAGTTAGGAAGCTGAATATTTCATAGGCCCCTACGATATTAGCAGAACACTCAATTAATAGCTCACATGTTTCTGCAGGGTGACTGGGACTCACAGTCTGTCCCCAGCTAACCTATTTCTTGCTCTTGCTCTCACTGTGCAAAACAAAATAGATCTGGAGTCCAAAAGAGTGGCTAACATTGCATAAATAATTTTGTAACATCCTATGGCCTCAGCTGCAAGTTACCACCATTATGGAAGAAAATTAACCAGAGGAGACTCATCGCAATCATTGGGTTTAGTGGCTCAGGATGCGTGCAGGGCCAGGGACACAATTGGCAGTAGAGTTCATCTCTAACTATTTTATTTCAAATCTTCCTAATGACACATTATCGAGACAAAATGGCTTCCTCTCCAAACCTTAAATAGCCATGCCATTTCAGTTGTTTAAGCCCATTCCAAATGAAATCATCGTTTCCACTTTCATATATTACTGGTAGATTTTAAAGAAGAGATTTTCACATTTTTTTAAAAAAGATTTTTTTTTTCTCAGTTCATTCTTAGCTAATTTTAGCCTCTGGCTTTTCAAAGTGATGTACTGTATTTGGAAGTACAAACACCACATGCTAGCATAACCTCATTATTTTTATGACACTGAAGCATGATAGTAGAGGCCCTTAAAATGAGTCAAAGGTGCTCTTCAGTCTAGCTCCAAATCCACTTTATCACTGTGGATTAAACCCAGCTCTTCTCTTGTAACTGGGGATATTATTGTAACTATAAGTATGCAAGATAAAATGCATTACAGAAACGGTTTTCTCATGCACATTAGGAAAACAAATAAAGCAAGCCTAATTAGAGTTTTTTAAAACCTGTACGACAGGGAACTTGGAGTGTTAGACTTACAGGTTCAGTGACCTTCCCAGCATCGGTGAGGATCATGGATTTACTTTGGCTCAGCCTGTCATGGTGGCTGTTGGCGTTTTTGATTCTCATTTGCACAGCTCCGGTACCTTGGTGGGAGGAACTCAGTGTTTCCACAGAGGTATCAGAATTTGTAGATTTCTGCATATTACAAGGTTATCCTGATAAAACACAAAAGTATTATGTCATTTGTAAATATATGCTTTTCCAAGAAAAACTCTTAGTGCAATGCACATCCTGATTAATCATTAGGATTATGTCATTAAATAAATAAAAGAGCCTGCATCTCTTGAGAAGAGAAGCAGCAGCTAATGTCTTTGTAGTTATTTTATCTATTGGGGCCTCTATATGTGGATAATATATCAGAAGATTTCAGAATTCCTCTGGACACCCTTAGTCTGTGTAATTCTTAATCCATTTAAAAACTTCTTTTAAAAAAAAAGATTTATCTTATTTATTTGAAAGGCAGAGTTACAGAGAAAGAAGGAGGGAGGGAGGGACACACACACAGAGAGAGAGAGGGTGAGGGGAGGGAGAGAAGTTCCATCCATTGGTTTACTTCTCAAATGGCTGCAACAGATGGAGTTGGATTAGGGCAAAGCCAGAAGCTTCATTTAGGTCTCCCACAAGTGTACAATGGCTCAGGCACTTGGGCCATCTCCCGCTGCCTTCCCAGGCACAATATCAGGTAGTTGGATCACAAGTGGAACAAACAGGACTCAAATCGGCGTCCACATGGAATGGTGACTTTCCAGAGTGCAGTTTAACCTGTTATTCCATAATGCCAGCCCCTTAAAAACTTCTTACAGGAATATGATGCAATCTCCCATATATACAAATGATGTTGCTAACTAGTCATCCTTAGGGTATATGACTTTTTTCATTCACAGTTTCATGTTTCATTCACAGCTTCACTGATTTATTATCCATTGCTACACACTATTTTGGTAAATGCAAATCCATATAAATAAGGTCTAATTTAAGTAAGTGGGATTGGTGTAGAGCAAAATAAATCCCATAACTCTACCTGCATTCACAGTATCCACAGGGGTAAATTAAAATACAATTCACTGCCATTTGCTGATGGAAATAGCTTTGTTAGCTTTGTTGGACATAATATTTAGGAAGAACATAAATAAAAATAAAATCAGCAACCTTTATTTATTCTGATATATTTTAATAGAAGGAATCACTCAAGCAAGAAAGTTCAGTATGGGCATACTTCACAGCAGCAGCAATAAGGGAAAATAATTTAGAAAAAGAAAATTAAGAGAAGTACTCTGGCAGCAAAAGGGGGTGGACTAGGAGAGCTTCCATTGATTTCCCAAATCATAATCCTCTCCAGGTGCCCCTTCCCTACAGTCCCTCCAAAGAACATAGCAGTTCATTAAAAACTGAACATTTACAATGCATGCACATCTTGTAAGTTCTTTGAAGCAGGTACTTCTCTAGCCTGATTGTTGTCTCTGATGCTTATCTACAAATACAATCTATACTAGATCCCAGGAACATGAGTAAAACATTGAACAAAATTATGACTACTTAGGTATAGGAACAACAGAACATAGAAGAATGATCATATTTTAAGGAGCCAACTGAATTGGTACCTCAATATTTTTAGAGAGAAAACAGAGGTAGATTCATGTAATGGTAAAGTCAGGTGGACACTAACATGAATGAAAAAGAAAACATTTTTATAAAGATTTATTATATTTATTTGAAAGGGAGAGAGAGAGAGAGAGAGAGTTTTGTTTCTGTTGTTTCACATCCCACATGGCCATGAGGGCCAAGGCTGGGTCATGCCAGCGATAGGATCCTAGAACTACATCCAGGACTCCTATGTGGATGGCAGAAGCCCAATCACTTGGGCTATCTTCTGCTGTTTCTGGCCCATTAGCAGGGAGCTGGATCAGAACTGGAGCAGCTGGGATTAGAACAGCAATGCAGGCAAAAGCTTAACCCACTATACCACAATGCCAACTCCAGACAGCATTTTAATAAGGAGGAAAATATTACCTCCTAATGAATAATGATAAAGCAGTTGTATGAAAGTTCAGAAAATAAGTTAATTCTTATTATTACTACATGCTAAACACCGTGCTGAGTGGTTTAATCCTTATAAAATTCTTATGCCATTAAACCCATATTTTTATAGAGGAGAAAAATGAGGATCAAAGACTAATTTCCCAAGAACAGTGGCAGCAAAGGGAGAAGAAATAAGTACCTTTTTTTCCAAAAAAAGACCCAGATTTCCCTCAACAGGTGGATAGAGAGACAGATTACAGTTTACATTGAAAGTAGTAAACAATGAGCAAGGACAGACTGATGATGAATGGAGCCGCATGGATAAATCAATCACAACCTCTTTCTGCTGAGGGAATGCAGTCAGCTCCATCCACCCCCCACCCCCAAAACGCAAAAGAACAATGATTGTGCAATCTTGCTTATATAATATTCTAAAATTTGCAACCAATATGTGACAGATAGTTGATCGGTGATTGCTTAGGCAGGGGTGGAAGCCAGAGAGGATACACGAATTACAAGGAAACTTTGGAGGTAATGGGTATGGTTGTTATCCTGATTGTGTTGATGGTTTCATAGGCAAATGCATATATTAAAAATGAACATTGTACACTGTACATTCATACTGTATGGTACTTCAATTATAGCTAGCAAAGTTTTTTTGAAAGTTGTTTTAGCACTTCCTTAACTCATTTATTTTGCATTTATTTTCATTTTTTATGTGCCTATATGAGTGATATATCCTAAAAGTTATCTAATTGAGAATAAAAGAACTCTCTTGGCAAGTAGGACATAAAAATTTGAAATCATCATAAATATTTTCTAGAAAATTGGATGTCTCTTCTGAGTGTATTAGAGACATAACCAGTGTATTACTCAAGAGACTAACTGTAAGGACTGCATGTTTGTAACATTTGTCGGGAGAATCACTGAGGTTGACGCCACTATTTTTGACCAAGGCCATCAAGCCGCTGTATTTACATAGCCCAGCTGTGTGCTGTTTGTAGGATGTGTTGCTTCCTCAGCATCTGCAGGAATTTCTCTGACAAATAATTTGCATTCTGTGTATTGACTTTGCAATCAACCCATAATTTGCCTAGTGATGTGTTACTGTCACAAGGTTGGATTACTCGAAAAGCTTCTAATCTGGCTTCCTTGACTATTTTCCTGGTAACAGAATACGGGTTACTTTAAGATCTTCCTTCTTCAGCTCTCTGTCCCTACTACATTTCAATGACAGTTCTTTTAATTTTCTACTCTTTCTCACTCCAGCCAACACTGCTTTCCCACCTGACTCCATCCTCACATTTTGTTGATATCCATCTACCTTCCTTGTTTCGTATCCAGTTTCCCATGTACAGTGGCCTCCCACTATCCACAGGTAACATGTACTAAGATCCTCCTCCTACCTGCAGTGGGTGCCTGAAACATAGACAGCATCAAATCGTATATATATATACACTATGCTTTTTCCAATATATAGATACCTACTGTAAAGTTCAATTTATAAACTAGGCATGCTAAAAGATAAGCAATAATAATAGAATAATTATTAAAAATAATTGTTATAAAAGCTACATGAATTTCTCCTGTCTCCTTTTCCCCCAAAGTATCTTATTGTAGTATACTGACCCTTCTAGTGATGATGTGAGATGATACAAGTCCTGTGGATGAAGTGAAGAGAGGTGAATGATGTAGGCATTGTGACATAGCCTTAGTCTACCACACAAGGGTTGCTTCAGAATAAATACTGCCATACAGTGACAGATGATCTGATCATCAAGATGGCTACTAAGCGACCAACAGGTGGGCAGTGTATACAGCAGGGATATGCGGACAAAGGGATGATCAATACCCTAGTCAAAAGGCAAATAATTTAAAGCCTGTGAAACATTGTTTTATGGCTATTCAGAACAGTATCCAATTTAAAACTTGTAAATTGCTTATTTAGGGGAATTTTCATTTAATAATTTTGGACCACAATTGATTGTGGACAAATGAAACCATTTGTCTGCAATGTCATTCATTCAATACGTCATAGTTGTTCTCATGTTTTAAAATATCTAAAGGCTAGTAATTTGCAAAGCACTACATGACACTGGGAGAATACAGAAAAACAACATCAAATCTCTTCTTAAAGATTTCTATCAGCAGAAAAAAAATTCCTCTAACACTGAGATTTTCCTAAGAGGCAGGCATATTCTTAGAGGCTGAAGATAATCTTCTTTTTCAATTGAGTGCCCTTGATTTTGGTAAAGGAATCGAAAAACAAATCAATAGTTAAATAGTGTGTATCTGTGTGTGTGTGCAGGGTGGGATGGGTACTTGGCCTAAGATATCCAGTGTGGACAGTGAGAGAGAGAGAGACAGAGAGAAAGGTCTTCCTTTTTCCTTTTTCCGTTGGTTCACCCCCTAATGGCTGCTGCGGCTGGCGCACTGCGCTGATCCAAATCCAGGAGCCGGGTGCTTCTCCTGGTCTGCCATGCGGGTGCAGGGCCCAAGCACTTGGACCATCCTGCACTGCACTCCCGGGCCACAGCAGAGAGCTGGACTGGAAGAGGAGCAACCGGGACAGAATCTGGCACCCCGACTGGGACTAGAACCCGGAGTGCTGGCGCCGCAGGTGGAGGATTAACTTATTGAGCCGCAGCACCGGCTCTAAGATATCCTTGTCCCATATCAGAGTGCCTGGATTCAATACCCAGTTCTGGTTCCAACACCAGTTTCCTATAAATGCAAATCCTGGGAGGCAGAGGTAATGGCTACCCATGTGAGAGACCTGGACTGTATTTGGCTCCCAGCTGTGGCTCTGGTCCAGCCCAGGTCATCACAGACAGGAGAGTGAAAAAGAGGTGAAAGCTCTCTATCTTTCTCTTAAATAATTTTTTATAAGGGAACTGAGAGTTGAGTAGTCTAGGTAGTAGTAGTCTAGGTTGGGAGAGGAGTAATGGCATCAAACTGAGGTGGAACTTGGAAATAGAAAGAGGCTGTAACAGAAGACCAAAATGCTGGATCTAAATGGGAGCAAGTTGGGAATTTCAGGACAAGCCTCAGTGAAGCAAATGTGTGAAAATACCTGTGATATTATAAGATAGGTATTGGAACCAGCATTGTGGCACAGGAGGTAAAGCTGCCACCT